GTTTGGAAATTTGTCACAGACCGAAAAATGTAAGTTAAACAGCTTAGCTGATGAAACTTTTGTTGCAATGAGACTGTAAATAAAATGCAGCTACTGGAGCTAAACCCAAATTATTAATGCTTTTTATTTATTTACTTGTAACGTTTCCCCATTAAAACTGAGTTCTGTATAGCTATATTCTAAAAAAAAATAACTAAAGCCACATGATATAAATACCAAACGTACGTCATCTGTAGAATAGACCGTCTGACTTCACAGTCGTTTATGCAGCTGACAYGAGCGGGCTACGGCCCGTTGACTGCAGCTGACGTCGGCCGCGGTCTTCATCGGTTGCAACCCATGAATTGAGACACCGATTGTGAATCAACCTCTGTTATTCTTCTTAGTTTCTTTTTGTCGGCTGGGAAACAACAATGTAAATGCATTACTGCCACCTACTGGTATGTATGTGAACTGGATCAGTGCTCAAAAAATTAATTAATTAAAAATAAAACAAAAACTTATTCTTTCAAACAACCAAATCTGTTTTGAGAAATAAATTAGTCTGAGTACTTTAAAATTATGAATAACTTCTGGTTTAGTATAACTTACATTTTAGCATAGTGGCTTTTACTTTTGTCTTGTGGCTTTTGCTGTTTTGTTGTGGCTTTTGCATTTTGTCGACCCCTATGAGCCACCGTATTGAACATTTCTGTATGAAATATAGTGAAAACTCTTTAAAAATGAACATATTACCTAAACATAACACCCTGAGTTGCATTGTGACATTATTTTTGAGTTGTCTGTGGTCACAATCTGAACTTGATTTTTGTACACACCATGTCCCCTCTGTTTATCCTCTAGGGAGCATTGCTATCATTGTGCCACTGGTCCTGTTGGTTATCTTGATTGTGACAGTGGTAGCAGGTGTTTACATCTGCAGACGGAGGCAAAGGTACGTAGTTAAAAATTAAAGGAGGAAAATTAATAGGAGACTTCTAAGCAGCAACTGATGATGAGAGATCAAACCGCTTTCAAGATGAATGCGTTTCCTGGCTTTATGAATTAAAAGCTTGTTTGCGTATTCAAATGTCCTCTGATCATAACTGCAAAGCTAAGTTATGTTCTCCAAGTGTGCCAAGTAATTCACCATGATTGATTGGGTGGAGGTGTGCAGAACATTGGCCTGAATGTTGTGAGTCATTTTAATGACGGCTGGCTCCGCACACACCTCAGGGGGAAGCGTGTCCAGAGGCAGCCTATGACAAACGGAGGAATAAATGTGGAGATCGGGAACCCGTCATACAACATGTATGAGGTGGACCATGACAACCATGCTGATGCAGGCAGCCTACTGAGACCCAACTTCACACTGGACCCTCACAAGGTGAGCTGGTTGGAAAAAATAATAATAATAATGCTCGTTATTAATAAAGATGACAACTTTTATTTATTTTTTGAACATTGTAAAAAAATCTAACAAAACAAAATAAGGTTTTGTTACAATGGTGATATTTTCAATTAATGTAAAAAAAATGTCAGAAGAGCTTACTGAACTACTAGAAAGGGAACATGTTGATCCTTATAATGAAATCAAATTGTTTTAAGACAAAAACTGGGTGAAGCACATTACTTAAATCTCACTGCAAGAAGAGCCCCTGTGTGCATAAATATTTTTTTATTGATTTTATTTTGGTTGAACATCATTTAAACACTTTAAGAGATGAATATACACTCACCGGCCACTTTATTAGGTACACCACACTAGTAACGGTTTTGTGGTCATAAAGGGATGGACATGGTCAG